TTGCTGTGTGAGAGAGATCACATGATGCTTTTGGTGGTGCTGTATTTTTCACAAGGCTAACAAGGCATTTGCCTTGGGCAGCACTTTCCAGGGGGGAGGCAAAAAATGGCGTCCCCAAATGCCCTGGCAGATGCCTTGTTAGCCTTTTGTCAGTGATGCCAGAGTGATGTCATATATTAGCTTCTGGCATTCCTTGTGAATTACAAATGGCGCACGAGGGAGCAGAGCAAGAGGATTAAAGATTCCATGCCGCCTCCATTGCCTCTAGCGGCTGTCAATGAGACAGCCGCTAGAGGCTTTGGGGGAAGGCTTAACCCATTCATAAATATAGCAGTTTCTCTGAAACTGCTATGTTTATAAAAAAAATGGGTTAACCCTAGCTGGACCTGGCACCCAGACCACTTCATTAAGCTGAAGTGGTCTGGGTGCCTAGAGTGTTCCTTTAATAAAAGACATAACTTTGTCAAAACATGGCAGGGTCCTTCCCATCCTATGTCCCTCACCCAGTAAATTAATGAGTTCATAAAATTTTTGGGGATAGTAGCATTTCCTCTTCTGCCCTGCCTCCATACCTGGGCTGTGGGTTGGAGCTGTGATGGAATTTCGGTGAAATGTAAATTTAGTAGGCCGAGATTTCCACGTGGCATATGTGTATGTTGTATCAGTTAGTTAGTTACACGTAGCTAAGATACTGTCATAAATGTACTGAACATGTGCAGGAATGCAGGAACTGAAATCACACTCCTTTCTCCTTTGTTTCGGATGAGCCATGTGGTCTGCCCATATAAGGAAATCCAAATCCTGTCCACTGATTGGTTAAGGGTATGTGTGGGTGGAGCTATTAATGGGAGGAGTTATAGTTCTATAAAAAGCATGTACTCCATGTGTTCGCCCCTCAGACCTGTTTTGGAATGTTAGTTCATCTGAGGCCCGATCGGTATGTTAATAAAGACCTCTTACTTCCTGAAAACCTGCATCTATCTCTCTGTGTCTGGCTTCTGAAAGTTTACTCGGTTACAGAGCAAATAGTTAATAATAAAGCAGCTAGCAGAAGATGTGCCAAGTCAGTTTCTGCTTACATTGGCTTTAGGATAGGGGTACAAATAATGAAGTATGGTTACCTGGCCAATGGCCGTGTCTCTCATCCATAACAAGTTAAATAACATTACTGAGATGGCAGCAGCAATGCCCTTATTGTCCTGTCCTCATTTCCTAGGCTTTAGGATGGGACAAAATTGTTAAAATTGAGGAGATAAAAATGGCAATAGGCAGCCACACTGCCCACCACTCGCTGGGCTATGGAGTTTCTATACTTAGTACCCTGACTGATGCTTTGTTTGCATGCTACTGATGTATCCACCTGTATGCCTAGGAATGCTGAAAAAGTGCACTGAGCATGCCTGACAGATTAACACATGTGCACTTGGAAGATTTCTTCACCTTGTGACAGGGGGAAGAGAGAGGTAATTCTTGCAGAGCATGAATGTTTGGATCTCTCTGGTGTTGGGTTTCTCTATCCTGCTGCACAATGATGCCCTGTTTTTATCATTAGTGGATTGGTATGAAACTAAGAAAGATGGGTAACAGGGAGGAGGAGAGGATGGAGAGGTGCATCTGGGACTGGGTTTTGCTCACATTGCATGTTTTATTTTTACTCCCCCTACTTTCTTTTTTTTCAGGATGGGGGGCAGGTTTGCCCTAGGAACTGTCCGGTCAGCCTATTGTGAATGCTAGCCAAGCTACCTGTCAATAGCTGAGAGGTGCGTCTAACAATACAATCTGACCAGGTTTATACATATCTATTACATACTTTTCAAAGTTTTTCTTGCTTTATTTTGGTTTGTATATTTATTAAAAAGTGTTTGCTGGTTTGAAAATATAATTGTCAAGTAATACATATTCCTTTAAAACTGAATGAAGTGACGGAACCATTGGATTCCAGACTCCGTAACCATTTAAATTAGACAAAGCAGATACAGTCACCAAGATAAAGCACCGCGCTTACAGCAGCAGTAGCTTAGTATTCAACAGCTTAAAATACGTAGTAAAAACAAAGAGAACGTTACCTGCGCTCTGATACAGTGCCTACATTGTCCCTTTAAGACAGTGGGGGCTTAAGGAAAGGAATATTGGAAAACAGAAAAGAAAAAGGGCCACAAATCCCCATGTACATTTAAACAAAATGGAGGCTCTTTAGTTTTATTCCAATGGCCATTTGAATATATAAGCTCACCTGCCACGTCAAGACAAGCCTCAATAGGTGAGTTCCTACACTAGCCATTAGATATGCTGATATCAGCCAAGAATCTCCAGTAAGACAGGAAGGGGTATTTTATAAACCCTTTCACATTTAACCCTTTATAGGGCTTCTACACATACAATAAACTTTGCTGGTATCAGACAAAGTGTAAACATCTCTAATGAGACAGGAAGGGGTATTTTATAAACCCTTTCACATTTAACCCTTTATAGGGATTCTACACATACAATAAACTTTGCTGGTATCAGACAAAGTGTAAACATCTCTAATGAGACACGAAGGGGTGTTTTATAAACCCCTACATACTTAACCCTGAATAGGGCTATAACACATACAAATTACCTTGCTGGTATCAGCTAAAAGGCAAATTTATTGATGAGACAGGAAGGGGTGCTGCCCCTACATACTTATAAACTCTTAATAAGACAAATGTGGGGAGGCTGGCAGCAATGTAACATAGCTGTGTGATACAAACATCATATACAAACACAAAGATAAAGCACCGCGCTTACAGCAGCAGTAGCTTAGTATCCAACAGCTTAAAATACATAGTAAAAACAAAGAGAACGTTACCTGCGCTCTGATACAGTGCCTACATTGTCCCTTTAAGACAGTGGGGGCTTAAGGAAAGGAATATTGGAAAACAGAAAAGAAAAAGGGCCACATTAAACTGAGCTTGTGCTGGCAAAAGCATAGTAGGAAAGCTAACAGTTTAATCATATCATCTGCATTTTACTTACAATAAGACCAAGCCAAACATCTCTTCTATTTTATCTGTAATATATCTAGCTAGCTAACACTGCATTCAGTATTACATGCAAGTTAATAGCTATGTAGTACATTTGTAATTGTGTTAGTTCCTAAGCTCATTAGTTTATTTAGCTGTTTATCTAGTGTTCCATGCTAGTTAACATGCACTTTTTTAATTGTCAGTTCCTAATCTCTGTATTGAATTAGTTCTTGCTGTGATACATATTAATTAGCCAGGGCTGTATGCAGTGAGAGTTGTTCTAACCTGATTGAGACAGTGGAACTTATAAATAAAGTGATTTAAGGTCACATACACTACATTTTTATTTATTTTTTATCAGTGGGTATGTACATTGCCCTTCTTTGTAATAAAAAAATGTCAGTTTACAGCATCAGAAAAGCCATGATCTAGACAAGAGGACCTTTCTTGCTTTAAGATGCATATGGGCTTCACTGAATTAAATCTATTAAAACTTAAAAATAGTATTTAAAGCAAGAAAAACCACCACAGAAATACAGAGCTATAAAACAAAACATAATAAAATTAAAAAGAAAAATGCATATACAAACAAATAAAACGTCTATAGAATGAGTCAAGCCATGAATTACAGTATTTACCTCAGTAACACATAGAAAATGCTAAGTTGGTACATTATTGCACACTGTTACCAATTCTGCTTCACTATTACACTATGTGGTACAATTTGTTTTTAATGAGAATAATGCAAGTGTAATTAAAACACTGAAGAATAGTCTCAGGCAGAGTGACCAGTCTGTCCAATCTGTAAGATAAATCAAATTTCCATTGTGTACTTTGTACTTATTCAGACACAATTTAAAACACGTACAAGATGTGTAGACCTGGATAATTGACAGGTAGCTTGGCTAGCATTCACAATAGGCTGACCGGACAGTTCCTAGGACAAACCTGCCCCCCATTCTGAAAAAAAAGAAAGTAGGGGGAGTAAAAATAAAACATGCAATGTGAGCAAAACCCAGTCCCAGATGCAAAAAAAGAGGATCAAAACTCTCATAAAACTCCTGTTTTATTTATGTATTATGGGGGGGAGAGCAGTCAAGGCAGGGCCAATCCTGGGGTCACTGATGCTTGGCTGCAAGAATATTTTTGCCCCCTGCCCCCCGGTGGTATGGCTATATTGCTAAACCCTCCCCTTTATAAACATAACACTTCTAACCACATCCATTTTCTGTGGAAACCACTCAACCCCCAACCCAGGACACGTCACCTACTTCCTACAGTGCCAGCTTTTCCCCCAAAAAGCTTATTAGTGCCATATTTGTGCCCAGCT